GTGTATCATCTGTGTGTATGTAGACATAACAAGACTATTTCCATGCGCAGTCCTGGCAGAAGGCCCGTGGTAACTGCTCTGTGGGTCTGGTTACAATTATTTCACAATAGGGAATAATCCAGGACAGTACATCCCTTCTCGGTCCACTCGGCCTCCGGTGGAAACGTGTGCTGTTTTACCCCACAAACCTCCTTTCGGCTCTCCTCCCTGCTCACGTTTTCATTCTCCTCACCCTAAGCATTCCAACCATTCGCGCCAGGAAGCTCAGCTACATTCTAAGCCCAAACTACACCACGATACACAAGAAACTTGAGAGTGTGTGGAGGGCAGGGTGTGTGATAGCTCCTTCTTTCCCTTTTAATTATACACAATCTGGGCAGATACACCTGTATCCTCACTTTTTGTTCACGTGCTTTCCAAGTTCAAACTGAAATAAACAAAACTCTCCTAAAAGGAAAGAGCTGGTACATCCTCTGCCATTTTACCTCCATAACCAGACGCATTTGTGCTCCCCGCCCACTGCAACATTTCCTACAGCTGAACGTGGCCCTTGGGAGAAGTTCTGATGGAACATTTTCTACTGAAATGTGTTCTTAATTAAAACAAAGAAGATAAGAATAGTTTACAGGATATCAGGACTAAGATGCTAACCCCAATATTTAGAATTATTTATGTCTATCAAATCCTTCTTATGTGGCCCTCCCTTCAAGATGGTCAGTTCCAGAACTCTGAAGTCCCTCAGTTAGTTACTTTATCTGAGCTTGCAGAAAACTCAAGACTCCCCCTCAACTGTGCCTCTGCATGGTATTCACTTCCCACAATAATCGTATCCTAAATATTCTGGCTGTTTTCCCTGCATTGGAAATATAGAAAGGTAAAACAGAGATCATAAGAAAAGGTGAAGCAAAGACATCAAGTGGTTGATCAATGAGAAATGCATAAAATTCCTATAGAAGGACTTTTTAGATTTATAAGAATTTCCTGAATAAAGAACTTTCAGGACGGTTTTTTGAAATCAACAGCACATGGTGTGAGTCATCCTGCGGCTCAAAACGTCTTTAATTCTGCACACACTGAACTTCCCGGGTCTCACGTGATCCCTTCCACCAAAGACCAAAGGTAGAGGGACTTCTCTCGGAAGCTAAGGGAGGGAATAACACCATGTCCTTATTTTACCCAGGTTAGCCCAGTCCTGAGGAATGAGAAGGAAACTAGGTAAGAGATGAGTTGAGGCAGCGTGGGGAGAAGTCGCTAATCAATATCAACTGGAGGAACTGAAAGATACAAATAATTAACATAGAAAATTGAGCAATTCTGTTAACCTCATTCCCCTTGCACAAAAAATAAGAAGGTTGGACTAGATGGATTAATGTAACATTTGTGTAGAATTGACCTTGTTCAAAACATTGTGCTTAGGTGTCATGGAAGATGTAAAAGTGCCATGGCACCAACGTTCCAATTCGGATTATCGAGGCTGACCATTTCTATTGTCGCCCAAGTCCTGCACCCACAACATTTCCCCCAAAACTATTTCACCGACTTTCTTAAATAATCTGTGTGGATACATTAGTGCACATTTGGCTCCTTAAGGAGAGCATAAGATCCTTTGAAGACAAGTGACATCATTTACAAATACTTGAATTATGCCCTGCCTCATTCACCTAGCTCCTAGTATGATGTTAAAAAAAATTTTTTTTAGTGTGTAATTGATATTTGTTACATACACATAAATAAAGACTGTAACGTACAGTCCTTAGTATCAGGAAGTTTAAGCCTTGTTTGGAAGATAATACATACAAAAACAGCCGTAATGTAATAATAAATTGTCTAAGAAATGTAGAACTATATTTTCTCTCTATAATTCCATAACCTATGTTCTACACATGCCTGTACGGTATATTCTAGAAACCAGTGGTAACAGGACAACTGAAACAGGAGAGAACAGACAGGTTATAGGAAGAAAGCGGAGGATCCCACCTAGAAGCACGTGTGCACGTTTGCGTATACACAGCACAGCAGAGGCGGCCAGGGGTCCCGTGCACCAGGTGTACTTCTAGTACTGAGGAACAGCTGCCACCCCACTTGGCTTATTTCCTAAACTCAGATCTAGATGTATTAGGTGTTCTCAAAGGAAGGCGTCCCTGTGGCCCCTGAGATACGAAATTTAGGGCAAAGGCTTTCAGGCCACTTAAAACAGGACTTAGATTCTTCACGTCAATATCCTACTTCTAACTCCTAAATAACTCCAGAGTTTCGACCCAACTCAGTCCCTTTTATTTACCATTCACTGTGCAACATTTCTTGATTGTTGAACGTAGATTGTTCAATTTTCCAGTGAGAGACCATTTGCAATTCAAGGCAAAAAGGTTTCTTTGGTGAACTTAAGTTTTGAATTCCCTGAGCTAATGGTGATAATTTAACATATAAAATACTCTACTAAAATAGCTTCTCTTGGCTGATAGTGACAAACTCAGGTCAGGAAAACTTTCAGTACCACAGTTTATGATTCTGAATACTGTATTTTTATGAATGTCAGTCATTTCAATTTTATCTTATAAACCATTCTATATGAAATATTTTTTTCTGTCCACAGGTCTAGATTGCTGGGGACACACATGAGCATGAGACGCAAAGCCCCTCACGAACGTGCCCTGGCGTCTCCTGGGCTCCCCTCAGACAGTTAGCAGTCACGTTTCACTGCTCTCTTCATCTAAGAAACCTGCCCCCACTCATTTTATTTGAACTTTTTGAGTTATCTAGATATCTAACAATATAAAAGGACATCATTTTAAGTAGCAATGGCCCAAACGGTAGTTAGTCCACTTGTAATCACTGATTACATATTCCCTATTCCCTCAGCTGAAAAACCAGAAAATTACCCCCAAATCCACAAAATCCAAACAAGTGAAACATTATAAACCTCTGAACCAATACGTACGTGATGAGGTCACCCCGACACAGAACAGTTTTCTCCCCTCTCTTTGAGGATGACAGCATTTTCTCCTATTCTGAACCTGCTCCTGATGTCAACAAGGTCAAGGACCGAGAGCTTTCTGCGCCCGGAACGACTGTGGGAGCAGGAGGAACTCGCCTCCTTGACTAGAGGTAAAGTTCGTGACTAGACTGTCAGAGGCGGCCGCAGAGATTCGAGAGGCTCAGCCCCAGGAGAAAAAGAGGGGGCAGGTTCCTAGAGCAGCGGAGACTCCTTCTGGTCTCAGGAGCGGACACCTTCCCCCAGGATGTGGGGTTAGAGGGGAATCGGCGGCAACACTTGTTCCCACGCGCCCGGCAGGCAAAGGACACCCGGGAGTCCTCTGGCTGTCACAGCAGAGCTCACTCACGCCCGGACTTGTTGAGCTCGGATGAGAGATCTGGACACTTGAAGCTTATCCGTTTCCATGTTTTGTATTTGTCTTCTTGTCTCTCAGTTTCCTAAGAAGGGTGTTGGGAAAAGCTCTGAGCTTAGGGGAGCAACCAGAATCAGAGCGGCAGAGGCCCAGGCCTGAAGTAGCTCCAGGGTAGGACCCGCAGGCCCACTGATCCAGAAAATCTGTGGATGCGGGCGAGCCCCTGGGGACGTAGGGACGGCAGCAGGCTGCGGGAAGCCTGGCCTGGGGGGTTTCCCTGAGTAAATACCGTGATCCAGTGACATCAGGAGGAAGGCTGCATTTCCTCCTAAGGACAGGGATAGCCGGGACATGCAGTTAAACAGGGACACGCAGCCCCTGCTTGCAGCCTCAATCAGCTCCTCGTCTGACTGAGCAGGGGGCGCACATCGGAATTGCCCGCAGTGTCCTGGGCCATAATTCTCCCGAGCTGTGGCTTCCTGTCCTCTCCTTACAAGGGAGCACCTTGTAGATCAGGCTCTTAGCTTTGTGAGAGCAAAGGCTGAATCTCGCAGTACCAGGGTTCAAGTGCTGCTGAGAAGTTGTGTGTGAGAGGAGACGCCCGGGGCTGGGGGCACAGGTGAGGAACGTGTGCAAGGGTCAGGCTTAGCTTGTGAACAACTGCATCCTTGGGGCACTGTTATCTGAGCTCCTTGCCACAATTTCTTAGTTCTAGATGCCTTTTACTCGTGCAGGATGCCCACTGCTTACGGATCCTACTCTGACCCACTCTTTTAACACTCAGACCTCTTTCCCCTAACTTCCAGCTTCACCTCCAGGCAAAGAGTGGCCTGTAGGACAAACCAATGGAGTTATGAGGAAAGGTTTCCTCTTTCTCATTTTATCATGTTGTTCACCATCCACTTTGGCCTCATGATCAAACTCTACTGCTTAACATCTTAACATACAGTGGATTTTCCAAGTAAGGTGTTTCTTGTGACCTTCCTTCCACCCATCACAGTTTTGGCAAAAATTAATCTTAAAAAATGCTCAAAATGCAAAGAAAACAGAAGCAGCCTTTCGATGTGTTCCCCAGCCCCAAAGCAACCTCATCCAACTGAGTGGGTTGTTTGAGGCATAAAAGTAAGGATTTTTCACTTCAGCTTAAATAGTGGTTAAAAGAATTGTTGAAAATATTAGTATTCTAGTAATACCTCAAGGACCCGAGCATCACGTGGGTCTATAGCCCCAGCCATGGTACCATGGTTGCCAGGTTTGAGACTCTGTCATTTTTGGGGGAAATGGGGTGGTGCAGGAAGAATTCTTGATTTTTTTTCCTTCAGTATTTTGTGGAGTGGAAAATATTCCAGTCCAGTCTAGAATTTCAGAATGAAAACAACATACTTTTCAAAAATCCAATTTATAGTCACCAAATTAAAAATACATGTAATTGAGACTTCTGCTGCCAGAACTGTCCACTGAGATGTTGTAAAGTGAGAATTTAACAGGATAAGTGCTTGTTCTTGCTAAATCCAAACTTTTTTTTTTTAAAGATTTTATTTATTTTCCTTTTTCTCCCCAAAGCCCCCTGTACATCGTTGTATATTCTTCGTTGTGGGTCCTTCTAGTTGTGGCATGTGGGACGCTGCCTCAGCGTGGTCCGACGAGCAGTGCCGTGTCCGCGCCCAGGACTCGAACCAACGAAACACTGGGCCGCCTGCAGTGGAGTGCGCGAACTTAACCACTCGGCCACGGGGCCAGCCCCTAAACCCAAACTTTTAACACCTTAAAAGATACCATATATTGAAATGATTTAATATTTAATCACGTTAAAAAAGAAAGAAACACAAACATTCATGGGAACTTGGATATCGCTCAATGTCAATGCTTAGGCAGGAGGCCACAAAAGATATGGCACCTACTACGGTCTGATCATTTCCATCCCCACAAAACTCCTATGCTGAAACCAAACGCAACAATGTGATGGTATTAGGAGGTGGGGCCTGTGGGAGGTGCTTAGGTCACGAGGGTGGAGCCCCATCAATGGGATCAGTGCTGTTATAAGAGACCCCAGAGAGCTGCCTTGCCCCTTTGTCTACTGCGTGCGCCCTCTAGGAAGTGGGCCTTCACCAGACACCAAATCCGCCAGCACCTTGACCTTGGACTTCCCATTCTCCAGAACAGTGAGAAATAGACGTTTGTTGTTTATCAGCTACTCAGTTTATGGTATTTTGTTATAGTGGCCCGAACACACAGAGAGAGCCCATATCCAGAGCCTGTGTCCTGCCTGCCTCAGTCCAGGGCTTTACATGGCTGAGCAGTTGACTGGATCCACGTTACATTAAGGCCCACCTGACTTATCAGACTCTCTGCCTTAAAGAGGGGCAGCTGTAGACGGTGGGACACACTTGTGTCCTGAGGATGAGGCGCTATCGTCCTACAGACATACCTGGGTCTCAATATGATGCTTGCATTCTTCTCCTGTCACCTGCTATCGCTCTACATCAGGGCACAACTAGATGAAAGACTCCTTCCGCTCCTCCCCAGAGCAGGGCAGCAAGGCTATTTTTGGAAAGACACTTACATCATCACTCCAGTTCCTTTCTGTTACAATCCTCTTGTAGGAGGGCCTCAGAGCGCAGGACCGCAGGCCCTTTTCTAGAACCTTGGACCAGATGTGTTTGGAATTCAAAATTGTTTCAGATATGGTGTCCAGAGCATATATTACACAAACTTCTAGTGCGATTTGAGCCAGCACCTTATGGTCAGATACATTAATATTTCTGCAGTGAAATGTATGAATTTTTACAATAAAGAAAGACAGTAAATAGCCTCAAATCAGTTCAGGGCAAGCTTTGCCATCAAATGAGTTTTGGGGTCAAATTTGCAAAAGAACTTTCAGTTTTCTGGGCATTTGGGATTTTGAAATTCAGGGTAAGAGAGTATAGACCTGTATTTAGGGCAAATTTATGCTTGTTAAGAAAACAAAGTCTACTGGTGCTGAGAGAAAGAAGAGACAGGATCTATTGCAAATAACCTAAGGGGGCTTTCAAAGGGATCTTTCAGACGCAGAATTTACTATGTTAAATAGGATTTAAGGTAAGTGGGTTGGCCTTGTTCCTGGGCTTCTGTCATATGATCTTGCCACATTCTGCCCCCCAGGGCGAGTCTGTGACGGGTGCTGTTGTCATGGAATCTGAGTTGCCTCGCTGTTCTGTAGGGAAAGGGCCCCGAAATGGGCAGACCTAACCGCTCTGAGACTCACAGGAACATTCCTAGACTAGAATAAAACCTCAACAAGGCAAGAGTGTTGGAGCCAATTGGCAGCATGCACTATGACTCCACAATAAAGTAATTACACAGTTGGGTTTTTTTAAGGATATAAAAACCAAAAAAAATTGCTTTTCTCCTTAATATAAGGAAAAATTCTCTTTAAAGCCCTAATCTATGAAGTTTTAAAGGTGGGACTGGGAAGATTATCATCTGGGTTGTTGTGCTACGGGTTATATACCAGGGAGAGGGTACACTGTCCTCGGGGTGAGGGGTGGTCGCCAGTGGAGAGACATACGGAGAGAGAGGCTTACTTGGCTTCCAGGGCCAGTGCAATGATGCCCGCAGCCATGGGGGCTGAGGCCGACGTCCCAGTGTGGTTGTCCGTGCAGCGCTGCCTCAGGTCCATAGTGATCTAGAAGACAGAAGGGAAAAATTTAGGGCTCTGGGGCCAATGTGGGTCCCATGCAAGTAGAAAGAAATTTACTCATATAAGTGGAATGGAGGGGTGTTGAAATAGTTGTTTTAAATTCCTTGTTCCTGCCCTCCTGTGACCATATCATTTCCAGTGAATCGCCTGTGTAAACCAACTGTGAAAAGGGAAGGGTTTGGAAACGGGTCTCCACTTCTGTTAAACCAGGGTCAGGACTAGGGGGGTCTTTGGCTCAAAACATAAGGGTCGTGGACGTGCCTGCTTAGATTTTACACCCGAGGCACCTCACTTGCCTCCCCAGTCCCAGCTCTAGTGAAAACTAAAGTTCTTTCATCAGCCGCCCATTGTTAATAATCAGACACGGAGCCCGGCGTCGGAAGCGTGAGGAATAAAAGCACACGGTCCGGCCCCCGCCCTCCCACAACTGTCACCTTGGGGGAGCTGCAGGTTTTAAGCAAAAGGGATGCCCTGCCGTGGAAGGGACATTTGCTTACAGACTTGTTTTTAGAATTCACAGGAACGCTGCATGCACGAACCGAGACCTCCTCAAAGATCTAACACTGATACGAAAAACGAGTGGAACCCGCGCGCTTGATAGGAGATTTCAGCTCCAAGTGCGCGCCTGTACGTTATCGGCGGAGATTAGCCACGTCTCCTTTTTTTAAATCAAAAGGTGAGAACTAGATCACTTTTCCTCTGGGTCTGAATCCAGTTCCCGTCAGCGAGGGCAGCGGTTCTCAGCCCCTGTTTCATGATCGTTTCACTAAGGAAAAACAAGTAAATTCCGATTCTCCTTAACAAGAGGAATCAAACACTATGGGGTAAGATTTTGCAAACCTCGTAAAACCTAAGATTTTTTCAATCCTCTCTCCCCGACAAGCGTCCACTTTTGCCTCCTTGGGCTCATCACCCCGTTGGGAATGCACAGGGCTCGTAAGATGAGCTGCTGCTCTCGCTGCAGTTACTGGAAGACGCTGGAAAGCTGTCTTTGTCACCAAGACAAATGCATTACCCACATTCACAGATAAGAAAACTGAGGCGAAAGGTCATTAGAAAGGTGTGGAGGGATAACGGCGGCGGCTGAAAAGAAAGGCCCCTCGTTCTAAGACGCAGCCTTCTAGGGGAGCGTGAAGATTAGTGGATTTGGAAAGAAACGTGCTCTTCCCAGGAGAAAGTGCTGCCCAGCTCCTCAGAAGGCATCCCCCCGTCAGGTCTCCCCAGCGTCTCAGGAGGTTGGCTGAGGGGCTCTTAATCTGGTCGGGATCTGGACTGACGTCCTGCTGAGTCGGTTCCACACAAGCCCAACAGTTCTCTTCGTCTTTTCTTTGTTCCTTTTGACACCTCTAATGTGACCAGATTATCCACACCGGAGAGGTACTGATACGCCAGTGGGAGAAGGAACAAAAATATACAGAACCACACAGATCCAGTGGTGGCAGAGAGGAGACAAGTCTCACACTCCTTTCCTGAATATGAACGGTGTGCAGGAGCCCTGAGAGCGCATTTGGCAAGCAGGGGCGATTATGTCTCGATTCACAGACTTGATGCCCTAGCCATCTTCCGCACCTCCACGCTGGGTGCTCGCAAGGTGTCTGCGTAAACACAGCCTGAACCACTTCTACGTTAGGAAACTTTCTGGATTGTCAACTGTCTACTTTAAAAGGTACTTCTTTTCTCTGTTTTTTTACTGTGGTAAAAACACACAACACAAATTTACTCTTTTAACAACTTTTAAGTGTACAGTATTGTTAACTACATGCACATTGCTGGACAAGAGATCTCTAGAAGGTTTTTTTTTTTCCAGTGAAGATTCACCCTGAGCTAATATCTATTGCCAACCCTCTTCCACTTTGTATGTGGGTCACTGCCACACCACGGCTGATGAGTGGGGTAGGTCTGCACCCGGGATCTGAACCTGTGAACCTGGGCCACCAAAGCAGAGCCTGCTGAACTTAACCACTACATCATGGGGCCAGCCCCTCTAGAAAGTTTTTATCTTGCATGACTGAAACTCTGCTCATCAAACAACTCCCCACCTACCCCCCAGTTCCTGGTAACCACCATTCTACTTCCTGCCTCTATGAGCCTGACTACTCTACATACCTCATGGAAGTGGAAATATACCATACCTGTCTTTTTTTTGTGACTGGCTTATTTCACTTAGAATAACATCCTCAAGTCTCATTTATGATGTGGCATATTGCAGGATTTCCTTCTTTTTAGGCTGCATAATATTCCATTGTGTGTATACACTGCATTTTCTTTATTCATTCATCCATCACTGGACATTTGGGTTGCTTCCACCTCTTGCTATAGTGAATAATGCTGTAATGAACACAGATGTGCAAATATCTTTTCCAAATCCTGTTCTCAATTCTTTTGGATATACACCCAGAAGTGGGACTGCTACATCATTAAAAAGGTGTTTCTACCTCATTTGAAATTACGAGTGAATCTGCAGCCTTATTTTCCAAAGGCCTGATCCCTAAGTCAATGCAGAAACACCCCAGAAGCGGCCTGTTTCCGGGTCTCCGGATGCGCTGTTGCTGAGCGATGGCCTTGCCTGCATTCTTCTCATTCTACCTCACCCTCATGCTCACGCGCCTTTGCCAAGTTTTACTTTTTTCAATGACTTGTGCCGGATTCAAGATTTTTCATGATGTTTCCCACTTGGCTCACTGTGTTTATTCTTCAGCTGCACCAGACACTTTCAATGCACAGAAACAAAACCAGAATAAACACGTCAAATGTGTGTAGCATTTTTGGGTCTCATAAATAACCATCTCCAGCCAACCTCAAACGTGAACAATAAAAATTTTATGATGTCAGGTTTGTAACAGGAACATGCCCCACCCATACACAGTCACCAGGTATATACATATATATTATATGCCTAAGTAAGAAGCTACTCAGTACTTTTATATATAAACACCAGTGAAGCGTTACTGCTATGCATATAGGCAAGCTTGTGCAACTCCAAAGCAGCATTGTGCCTTTATTTCTTTTTTCAATCCCTTTAACTGAATGGAACTTGAGTCCTAGTGAGTAGGGGAGGAAAGGGAGTGAGCAGGAAGGTGATGGAGAGAAAAGAGGCAAAAACATCCTCGCCCCTTCTCATCCTGCTTGAAGTGGGAATTCCAGCTGGGGCATTTCAAGGGGAAGTTACTGTAGGTGTGGAGATATTTAGGTGTAAATTACCGGAAGGATCTAAGGTAGGGTTTTCATTATTAAGAGAAGCCACAGTATCACAGAATTTTTACATCTGTCCTTAGAAAGAAAAGGCAAAGACCACCAAGGAGCATGCAATCTTGAGGAAAAATGATGTTCCGAAAACTGGAACCACGTGGGGTAACCCCATTAGTCACAACACACGCATATGAGATGTGATAGTGCAATTTTTTTTTTCTTTCTGCTTTTTCCCCCCAAATCCCCCCAGTATATCATTGTATGTATTTTTTTCAGTTGCGGGTCCTTCTAGTTGTGGCATGTGGGACGCTGCCTCAACATGGCCTGATGAGCGGTGCCATGTCCATACCCAGGATCCCAACCGGCGAAACCCGGGGCGGCGGAAGCGGAATGTGTGAACTTAACCACTCGGCCACGGGGCCGGCCCCGATAGTGCGATTTAAAGGAAAAGTTGGATTCAACAGTTGGCCTATATCATGGGGCAGGGAGCCCAGATATTCCAGAATAAAGCACTGTAAGTTTAGAATCTATTTTAAAGAACGTCTCAGAATTTGGTTTCAATCCCGATGGCACATCTTTCATGCTCCAAATCCCCTCAATTCACTACGCAAATCAGAAACAGAGTTTTTCTTCTCAGGACTTCTCAGACTGCTCAAAAAATACCATTTCTGTCCATCAGTGAAGGAAACAGGAGATGACACCAGGCCCTGAGCCAGATCAAAGCTGTCCTGATCAGCAAATCAGATTTTCAGCCTGTCTCAGGATGAGGAGCAGATGGAGTTTTTGGACTCCATCAAGTTAGGGACGCCATCTTCCTTTGGGGAGAAGGGGTGGGTACTGTTCAGGTCCAGTCAGGCTTCCTTGGAGAAAACCCATCATTTTTTCCCGTCCTAAGCTCTTATTTCCTCGTGTTTCACATTCCATGACTTGAGCAGACTGGATCCTTTATTCTAGCTGTTGATGGAATTCTCCAGGGATCTCGGCTCAGATCAACTTTGGCCATAAGGACAAGCCTTCACAGCAAGCCCACGATTAAGAGTTTCTGTCTCTCTGGGATCTTGTAAGCTGTTTTATTTTGAAGATGCCATATTGTCTCATATCTGTTAAAAGAGCAACTGAGCAGATATTTTTAAAACATGAAATGATTCCACTGTCTGTTAGGTTGAATTTATTTCTGGTGTTGATTTTGATTTGAATTAGAAATGTGCCAAAAAAGCTGTTTCAGACACAGCTATGGGAAATAAGGGCAGAAATTACATCTTAAATGTGTCAATGAATAAAACAGAAGAAGCCAATTTATTAAGCATCGCAAAATAAAAAGGAACTGGGGACCAATTAATGCTTTCTGTGTTCAGGAAGTCACAAAGACTGGTGTAAAATCCAGTCATGACTGACGAGACCACACAAAATTCCCCTCCCATGCTGCTCCGAGGATCTGTGAGTATGGGGAGCAATAGTGAAAAACAATGGACACCTACATATTCTAAACACTTTTTTTATCACTGTGAAAAGAACCCACAACAGGCAAGAGAAGCACCATTCTCCCTGACAGCCCAGTACCAGGTGTACCTGGACAGTATCCGGCCCGACAGCACACTAGTTACAAGATGGGCTCAGGGACCAGCCTGACTTGGGTTGGAATCCAGGCTCCACCACCTACTTGCTGTGCTTCTCTTAACCTTTCAAGCTTCTGTTTTCTCATCTGTAAAGTGGGAACAACACTGATCCTCCTGCACAGGTTCTGGGGAGACTGTGAGACGATGCATTTGAGGTGCTGAGCCCGGTGCCAGGCACATATTAGCAAGACAGAAAATGCCATATTTATGACATGTTAATGGAACTATAAATGTATTACATATCGGACATGGAATAAGATGTATACTACGGCTTTATAATAACGAGTCATTTCAACTGATTTCTACTTAGCTTACAGAGGAGCCTCTTGTCGTAGTGATCTGATATTGTGGATGCTTCATTTGCTGTAATAAGATGTAAGGCCACCCCCGATCTGAATCTATCAAAGCATGAATGGAATACCAAGGTCCACAACTGTACTCATCGCAGGTACAGGAAACCAAGAGATGGAGAGCTGGCTATGTTTTGAAACCCAGGGCAAGGTTCTCCTGCTTGCATACCATGAAAAGGCATTCTGTGGAGGACAAGTAAAGTTTATTTCACAAAAGTGCTTTCCCAGAAGCAGATAGGAGATCTCTCCTCTCTCCTGGATCCTCAGCATCTGCCTCGGTTCAAATCACAAAGGTGTTCTATGAATGAGGAATGGCAACAGTGCTCTTCTGCAGAAGCTGCAAATGACATAAGGAAATGAATGGCCTGGGGAAGAGAGCCCCCAGTACAAGGGAGACACTGCCATTCCTGTAATACTCAGTCACGGATGCCACTAACAGGATGTGGGCATCTCCGGGGGACCACAGGCATCTGGTTCAAAGCCTGGTGAAGAAAAGGTCCCAGGCGCAAGGCAGAATTATTTGTCATTTTGACATCTAGAAGGAAAAGGGGTCAGCTGGACCACAAAAGGCTGATGTTGTTGCCAGCTCCACTCACGTACAAACTGTTAACATGTTCACCATCAAAGCACCTTTCTTTACCGGGGAGGGGTGGAACAGATTACAGTATTTTATAGATTGGAAAAAATGGAGATGCAGCAACCACCTCTGTTAACAGCTGCTGGAAACATGACCAGCCTAAGCCCCCGGGACGCAGAAGCTACACTGACTTACGGAGCAATGGTACCAGCCACCTCCTGACCGGCTCAGTGGGCCAGGTGCCATGTAAGTACCCACACTCAGCGTCTTATTATCTTCAGGAAAACCTGTGAGGTTGGTGCAGTTTTACCTCCATTTTACAGATGAGGAAACCAAGACTCCGTGAGGGTGGCTCAGCCACTGGGCGGGCTGCCTGAAGCTAGAGACTATAACTTGAAACAGTTACCGAATTTCCTCTCCAATTGATGGTAATCCAGAGATTGAGGGAAAATAAGAGAATCTAAGAACTGGATAGAGAAAAATTACTAATAAATTGCTCCCATGAAAATGAGAGAAAGAGGCTAAACAAAAGGTAGAAACAAGTTAAATATATAAAGTGAATTAGTAATGGTTTTGAAATCAGAAGCAGCAACTAGGGCAAAGTAAAATATACGACCTGAATAAAGGGTGTTAACGTGAAGTCATGGGGTCCACTCTCCCTCTCAAGCCATATCCCTGACCACCAGTTATTGTAAAGGAATTAGGGAAAGATGGGGGCGGATGGGATATGTGTATGGGAGGCAGTTTTTATTTAAATCAATTTGCAAAATGTAAATTAAAGAAGGTAGTAAAAATAGCTGAGAAATCAACGTAAAAATCATACAATAACCAGGAATCAAACGGATGTGGATAAAGAAGGCAGTAGTGTCCTTTCGCCTGTGTTTCCACTGCTGTGGAGAAGTCAGCTGAGCATCAGCAGTGACACAAACCTGCATGAATCTACAAGATCTGAAAGCAGGCTCTTGGCTAAATGTTAAAAAGTGTCAGGCACAGCAGCTTAGCTCCCCCGCAGAAAGACAAATCCCAAGACAGTTGACAAAACCATGATCAGGAAAAGAGGAAGATGCAAAGGTAAGTGAAGTGTGGGATGGGCAGCCCAAAGGCAGACTCTCCCGAGTACCAGGGGGTCAGGCAGTGCACAGGGCACTTTTTGTTTACTTCCTCGTAACCTCTGTAATAACCCCATGAGCTACATAATATTGAATGTCCCCATTTTATAGGTAAGGATGTTGAGACAGAGAAATTCAGTAACGTGTCCAAAGTTACCCAGCTAGTAAACAGTCAACAGCAAGTGAACCCACGCAGGCTGGTCCTGCAACACGAACTCTTGACCATTGCGCTGTCTGCATGGACGGCAGGGTGTGCTGCTGAGCAGGAGACCACGGAGGACTCTGCTCCTCGTTCAGGCAAACTCTGTTCTGCAGGATTAGAGAAGCACCTTCTGTACAGGGTCAGCTCACACTGCACTAGTCAGAGCAACTTTGAGACCAAAGCATTAAAGCTAAGGTTCAAAGGCAGATGGGGACAGAGTGACAAGAGAACTGGACTGAGAGTTGGACCCAGATTCTAGTCTCTTCTCTGCCACTAACTCACCACGTGAACGTGGAGCATTCATTTGTCCTTGACAAAACTGAAGCTTAATCATGTCTAAGACCACATTAGATGCTAGAATGCAATGACCCAGACAGGCTTTTTCAATGAATTGGTAACAGAATGGTAACATTTACAAACACTTGTGTTGAGTCATCAGCTATTCTGACTTTCTGTTTCCATATATTACTTGTGCACATAAATTTGTGGTTCTCCCTTTGTATTTCAAAGTGAAAGATAAAGAAACCATGACAGACATGCAAATGTCACGTACTATTTTCTTGTCGTAGGACTCTCCACTGCTGTAGGTTGTGGCCAGTGTGGACGAACACTCTTCCAGGTACCAAGGCTTCTTTCCGCTTTCGGCTGTGCTGCTGATGGAGATGGTGTAGATGCTGTTGGTGTAGCTGTCACAGGAGCAGTGGTCCTTGCTCCTTCCTCCATTTCCTGACGCCCAGACGAAAACAGAGCCGAGGCCTCTCCGCCCCTGTTCACAAACAGAAGAAGTTAAATGAGGGAAGACAAGCATCACGGACTCTAGCTGATCAGAAGATGAAAATCAACAGGCTGGATCCAATATTTGCAGGAGGGGTGTGAGGCTATTTTACTGACATGCTGGATTTAAGCTGTTTTTTGAGGTAAGAGGAGTTGCTTTTAGAAACTAAAATAATCCGATGTGATGTACACCACACGGACTATCGTTAATAACACTGTATTGTATATTTGAAAGGTGCTAAGAAAGTAGGTCTTAAAAGTTCTCATGACAAGAAAAAAAATTTTCTAACTATGTGTGGTGATGGCTGTTGAGCAGACTCACTGTGGTGATCATTTCACAATATATACAAATATCCAATCATTAATGTTGTACACTTGAAACTATATAACGTTATATGTCAATTATACCTCAATGAAAAAACTAAAATAACTCCCTTCACGTGATGTAGTCATAGAAGTAACGAGAGCACCAATGATGACGATAATAAGGGCTACATTTATTAGGTACCTACCATGGACCAAGCTCAATTCTAAATGTGTTACAGGAATTGGACTGAATTCTTGCAACAGTCCTGAGAGAATGGTACAATTATTGTCCCCATCACACAGATGAAGACCTGAGGGACAGTTGAGTAACATTCCTAAGGTCATACAGCTAGTAAGTGTAGTCAGTGGAAGAACGAAATCTGAACCCAGCCAGCCAGACCCCAGAGCTGTAACATTGTTAGTCGTAATCACCAGAGTCACATAATACTGCTTTAAATCTTTACATCCCCATGAAGTGGGAGGTATTGGGCACCCGCACCTGACAGATGAGGAACACGAGGTGTAGAGAGGTTAGTATTCATCCTGAGATCACATCGTCAGCAGGGGGCAGAACCGGGTACTACACCCTTCCTTCTAGAGCTGTGCCTCCCCTGCGCATGGCGTGGACACGAACCACTGAGGGATGTGCATGCATGCTACCAAAAATAAAAGGATGTGAAGATCAAATATGTTTGGGAACTCTGAGTTAAGCAAAATTAAACAGGTTTGCTTATTGCAGAACTTCTAAGAGTCTTTAGCAAGCGATTGTTCATTGCAAAACTCTAAGGAGGGGGCACAATCTGAAGTAATTTCCAATATATTTGGCGGTGATACCTTCTTCAACCAGGTCCATGAACTTTTCCTTACACGGCTAGGAGATTATATTAGACCTTATATTAGTAGTTAGGAAAAGCAAATGACAAACAAAATGTGGTGTATATACACAACAAAATATCATTCAGCCTTAAAAAGGGATGAAATTCTGACACATGCTGCCACATGGATGAACCCTGAAGGCTTTATGCCAAGTGAAACAAGCTAGACCCCAAAACCACAAATTCTGTATGATTCCACTTACATGAGGTACCTAGAGTCAAATTTATAGAGACAGAAAGTATATTAGAAGTTACCAGTGGCCGGTGGAGGGGGGAAGGAGAAGTTATTGTTTAATGGGTACAGAGTTTCTGTTTGAGATGATGAAAAGTTCTGGAAATAGATATTGGTGATGGCTGCACAGCACTGTGAATATACTCAATGCCACTGAATTTTCCCTTCTCCATCAGCGACACAGTTTCAACCTCAAGGGTTATTTTTTTTTTTAGCTCTTTGTTATGATTTTAAACCTCCAGAGTAGGTGAGTACAATTAGACAAAGAATGGTACTCAGAAAAGCTTTTTAAATTAAGAGAAGGCAGACATTGAAGGAAATATACAGAGTATAGGGAGGTGCGACCCCAAGTCGTCTGAAAACCAAACAAAAAAAGAACCTTTGGAGCTGAGTGTCATGAAATTTGAGGTAAAGAACAACGATCGGGGCCAGCCCCATGGCTGAGTGGTTGAGTTCACACGCTCCACTTTGGTGTGGGGTTTCGCCGGTTCGGATCCTGGGTGTGGACACGGCACCGCTCATCAGGTCATGCTGAGGCGGCGTCCCATACAGCACAACCAGAGGCACTCACAACTACAATATACAACTATGTGCTGGGGTATTTTGGGGAGAAGAAAAAAAAAGGCAACACTTGTTACTTAGGTGCCAATCTTTAAAAAAAAAAAAAAGGAACAATGATCATCTGTCCGGCTCCTTCTTGAAGATCAGTGTTTCCTGCTGCCTCGGCGGCTTGAGTGTGATCCCGGTTTCCTTAAAGTCTGAGTAATGGCTAAACTCATTTTGAAATGGGGAAATCTGTCCTCTAAGACAGCAGAATTCATCTGCAGAGGCTGACCCTGATGGACGTGAACAGAAATCTATCTGTTTATGCACACATACACAAAACAGCTTTTTTTTTTTTAAGATTTTATTTCTTTTCCTTTTTCACCCCAAAGCCCCCCAGTACATAGTTGTATATTCTTCATTGTGGGTCCTTCTAGTTGTGGCATGTGGGACGCTGCCTTAGTGTCCATGTCTACGCCCAGGATTCGAACCAACGAAACACTGGGCCGCCTGCAGTGGAGCGCGTGAACTTAACCACTCTGCCACGGGGCCAGCCCCAGCTTTTTTTTTTTTTTAAAGGACTCTTCAACCTCATTAGCACTGTAGGGCAAAAATGAGTATAAGATCTCATTGTTCACTTTGAAGTTCCAGGCTGAAGAGTAACGAACTTTTCTCTTTCTTTCCTTTTTATTTTATTTTTATCTAATACTGGGTAGTTTATAATACCGAATAGAGCACCATAGTTTTATGGAAACAAAATTTGATTTGAAAGGTACCTTAACGTTTATGTTGTCCACCCTTAATTTTAAAGGAAGCTAGGGCACAGAGGTTACGGGGTTGGCTAGGCCACACGTCAAGAACAATGCTTTGGCAGAGACACTTAACACTGGCCCTGGTTTCTGTCCCACCCGCTCCTCACAAAACCCACAGGTCCTGGGTTTTGGGAACAATCCCAATTTTAAATACTCTAGGCCTTAAACACTTCCTAGGACCCAGAAATTCTAATTCCAAAAATACTGGATTCCCTCTTGTTTTCAAAAGAGGTTCTAAAATTCCAGATCATACATGTGCCTAGATTTTTGGCTTCTAAAAGTGATTGCCACAGTCAATATTCTCATCCGTATCACTAAATGTAAGGCTAACCATTGGCAAGAACGAGAAGTGCTCTCTTTGCCTGATTTCCTCCAACATGTTAAAATCAGGTCAACCTCTTGCCCGGGGTCCCTCTCCCGAGCCACAGTGATCACCCCTTCTTTGAAAGCCAACATCACTCACTATTGGAGGTCGCCCAGCAAACCGGAAGTAAGAAGTCAAACAGAAGTGAGTATAAGTCCCGACTGCGCCACGTCCTCAAACGCAGCTTCAGCAACCACCTGACCTCTCTGCGCCTCAGTTTCCTCATCTGAAAAACGGAGCTCATCATACCCTCCTGGTTTGGTTGGTGGTGATTACAAACCCATAAAGCACCTGCATGATGACTGGTACTCAGCAATCGCTGAGCGGGAGTTGTCACCATCGTCTCTCATTTCAGCACTTAATTCCACATAACGCGTCTCTGTGAACTGAGCCCTGCCCGTGCTTGGTGAGCTCCTAGTAACCAGTGTCTGGTCTCAGGCTTCTTTCCCGCCCCCTTCTACTCACACGGCTCCCCGCACCGAGCACAGGCTTATTCAATTGGAAAGGACTCAAAAAATGTTTTTAAAAAACAGACAAAAAAGTCCAAATATTTAAAAGTCCACTCCCTTCCCCTCCAAAAGGTAGGGCAGTATCTTGGATGCTTTTTGTTAAATGTGCCTTCTAGCTCATAGTCTTTTCCAGATAAGGAAACGAAAGCACCGGAATTAAATGCTCTAAATTACAGTGGGTCGGGGAGAGCAACATGAATTCAGAGCACTGTGTTGGGTCTTACAGAATATCTACAAAGAAACCCAAAATGACTGGCCTCATCCTGGGTGGCTCTCACCCTGTCTTCAGAACTGACCTCACCTTTCTTGACCTTTCTGCTCTTCGGTCCCCTCACCTGCGCACAGGAGCGGCTGGGTTTGCTTAGGGGTCCCAGCCCCTGAGTGATAAAACCCTTCGCTGTTCCTCAGCAGATGGGTGACGCGTGGGGACAGGGGACTGAGCACTGGCTGGGCTGAGTCAGGAGAGGGGAGGATGCTGGGGAAGTCCCCCTGCCAGACAATGCTAATCAGACTGTATTTCCACAGTGTGAGAACTTATCTTTTTCTCACATTGACATTTTTGAAATCGATAAGCATCTGACGCACTGATACAACATGTGTTCATTACTATCGTGTTTCTTTTTCCATTTCCTTACACGCTGATGTTCAATGGATGGTGCTTTTATAAAGTTATCTCAGAATTAAGGAAACAATTAACGTTAATGGTTACCAAGTACTTTGCCAAACATTTTACATACATTTTCTCTTTAATTCTCACAACCACCCTGTTAAGTAGCTACTTTTATTCTCACTTGACAGTTAAGGAAACTGAGGCTTCAGCGGCTTCGAAGATGGTCATTTGCTCCAGTTGACCAGCAGGGAGGAGGTGAGCGGGGGCTCAACCAGGGCTGACGCCCCCGAGGGCAGAAGCAGCAGCAGCCCCTCTCTCCGGCCAGAACACCACCGGACCCAGCTATTAACGGCTTCGAATTAGCCCTCGCCTACCTCCTGACCTGCCAAGGAGCCCCAGAACCTTCCAAATCTTCCTGTGGGTATAAACACGACGAACTCCCCCGAAGGCTTCAGCCCTAAAGCACCGCAGAGCGGCCTCGTCACCCTCAGACACCCGCCTGTGACCTGGGCCCTCAGCCGTCCCTTTAGGCGGCTTCAGAAACCTGAGCAGCAAACTTCAACATTTTCATTTTAGCTAAATCACATTTAGTATATTTGTCGAATTTGAAAGTATTGCCAAAGCCAGGAATGAAGGAATTCTCTACTCAACACAGAAAAGGGGATTTGAGATGAAACAGCATCCAGAGAGGAGCTGCGCCTCAGTCTGCACAGAAGAAACCCATGAAAAGACAAGCCTCCA